AAAATCTCGGACCCCGAAAACCACCAGATACCAAATTTAAATAGAATCGGATCATAATTACAAAACTCGTCCGCCATATTGGATCCGCCATCTCGAATTTCGACGAAAAAATAATTATCTCGGACCCCGAAAACCTCCAGACACAAATTTTGAATATAATAGGATCATATGAATACAAAACAAGTCCGCCATTTTGGATCCGCCATCTTGAAATCTCCCAACACCCTATTTCTCTGTAATCATTCTTGCTAGACCCCAAGTGTGATGCATTGATGAAATCAGCTCACAAAGGAGAATGCGAAAATGCAATGAAATACAGGGTGTCCCATTAGATAAAGTATAAGTTTGATACGCCACGCATTTCTGACTCACATAAAGCGAAATAATTTGGAAATGTGCTGCTCATGATCCTAGATCATCTCTGAAATTTTTGTTCATCTATCTCAAACAGAAAAGCCGTTATCTCACTTTGCCACACTAATGACTCACCCTGAATAAGATTGGTCTGATGAATGCCTGCTCACATGTTATTAGTTATTCAACTAAATGAATAATTCAAATCAATGAAATATTCATTGATTTTCATAATAGTGCATTACTTGATCAAGTCTACTTTATCATACTGTCTATACAGGGTGATTAATTAAGAATGGGAAATCTCTGAACTACAGATAGCAAACACCAAAATATGAAGATTTAAAATCTTTCTTGACTGTGGTTTGGCGTTGTTAGTGATTGTAATTATTGATTACTGTTTTTCTTCCTCTCTCAAATTATTAAAATGTTATAAGTGAAACATAAATCTGTTCAAGAGAAAAAAAAAGCAAAAAACCATTAGAGCTAGACAATTTGAAAAATAAGTTACAAATTCATATTCCTCATGTCAGAAAACCTGAAACAACAAGATTTCATGTTCATGCTGTTAAAATATGCAAAATTATTGAGAAATTTCAAAATAAAAACTCCCCCTAGAACACCCTGTATCTCCTAAACCAGCAATAATATCATCAGGCATGTTAAGTTTAATTCCAATATTTAAGTGTTTACTATCCGGTTATTTAGAGATTTCCCATTATCAACGAATCACCCTGTATAGATAGTGAAATCCCATCAAATCCACTTAAACATGAAATAATATACTGGGTGCCTTCATTCAAATAAGAAAGTCCAGGAACACTTTGGTATCATATCATGTTACAGGGTAGTCCAAAATTGTCTTTCAATTTTTCTGGGGCTGATAGTATGTACATCCAAAAAAAAAGTTTATTATTTTCTATAAACTCAAAAAATAAATAATAAGGAAGATACACCCCTCAATAGTGGCATAATAAATATAAGTTTTCCTGCAATATCTTCTGGACAGCCCTAGGATATCAAATTCATATTTCAACAGATAAGTACTTTTTTCATTAAACAGTCAAACTCAAATTGAACATTTTGTGCAGAGCAAAAAGAAAATAAGTTGACTACTGAAAAAAACCACCTGGTATAATGATAAATATAAAAATAATGCATGCTCTTTATTGATGAAATTATGGTAAATGATATTCTTCAGAATCAATAAAATAGGTCATGAAAAAATCTGTCATTTTCTAAATTGAGGTATGGAAAATTATTGTGGGGAATCTCTACAAAGGTTTCCCATAGCACAAAAAAAGATCATCCGTTGCATAGCAGGAGTACCTTACTATCATTCATGCAAAAAATTATTTTCAGAGTTAGGTATTTTAATTTTAACATTGCCATCTCTATACATTTTTGAGGCATGCCTTTATGTCTTCCAAAATAAAAACTCATTCACTCTTAATGATGGGATACATGATCACAATACAAGAAATAAAAAAGATGTACTAAATCAGTGAAATTAATGTAATAATAGTCATGTATTCAAAATATTATTGTAACAGTTCTTGAAAAATGTTATCATTAGGTATTTTATTATCTCAATGAAAAGATCTGATTTTTATTCAACTTGAACAGCAGCTGCATTCTTCTACCATATTTTACTAAAAAATGTATATGAAGGAAATTCAAAACTCTTCTAAGGAATGTTTTTATTGCATTTTATCAATTGTATACCTCTATCTCATATCTCTATTGTATACCTCTATTGCATGTTAGTTTTAGTGTTTCATTGTATAGTGTATATATATGTGAAGACTTTCAAAGCACTTTACAAATGTCAATTAAGGAAGAATAAAGATAAACTAAACTAAACTAAGATTATAAAATTGTAGTAATCATAATTTTAAATTTTTTGACATTCTTCCATCAAGAATATGAAGAAAACACCTTCTTATCTATTTTTCAATGAAATTAAAGTATCAACTAATCCAAGTTTGAGAAAACAAAAACTAGAGTAATCAAGTCAAGGCAAAACAGTAACTTTCAGATGATTATTTTCAACTTACCATAGCATAGTACATGGTCTTCTCATTCAATTTATTGCTCACACAAATGGCTGTGACAAAAGTTAATGGAGTAGGAATTGACAAATCAAAACCAAGAACCTTAAGGATAAGATGCTCCATTCTGATGACTTGTCTCTTGTTGTAAGTATCATCTGTTATATAAACAAACTCTGTAATATCTGGTGGATAGATTTCCTCATATTTCCTGAAAAATACAAAGGCATGAATATCAATCTAGTGCTCTGTTTATTTTGGTGTGATTGTATTATTTGTGAAAGTAGAATAGGAACAATAAAAAACCAAATGTTCTTCAGAAGATGAACATTGCAAAAAGTGGTTTCATTCACTGTTGCTATGAAATATACCCAATTTGCCTTTTCAAAATTCATGAAGAATAAAGGAAAACAAGCTTGAACACTGATAAGAGGAGGACTGATAGTAATAATTTCAAAAACCAATACAACACCATACAACGAAGAGACTTCATTGATGACTTACGATGCAAGAAACATTGCAGCTGTCCCAACCAATTGCAGCTTAGCTCTAACAACAGACATATAGCTCAAGAATCTATCAATGAAATTGACAGCCAGAAACAGTGTTTCATTGTGGAGTTTATACTCTTCAGCCACCTCAACAAGCCAATCAACAAGAATAGTCCTCATATTTGAGGTAACATCTGGCTGTTTCTTCATATAACCAGGCTTTGGTCTGTGGTGCAGCTCATGTTCTCTTAGGTACTTGTAGATATCAGACCTGTACTCTTCCATCTCAAAGAAGATGTCTTTGGTGCTCTTATTTCCTCTGAGCAGCACATCTTCTGCTTTGGATATATTTTCACCATAAAATTTCTCAATGCTCATGGGAATGGGTACTGGAAGAACATCTGCCAGTTCCTTTCTGGGATGGAAGATACCTTTGGCTTCATCTTCAGCTCTTTTCTTCCTTTCCAGCTCAGCCACCTCAGTCTTTGTGTAGAATCTATCTTCAGCAGTGCCTTTGTACACCTGAATGAGGCCTGTGTGTTTGATTCTACTTTTGAGCTTCTCTTCAATTCTTGCCATTCGCTCTTCATAGGCCTGATCTTCATAGACTTTGAAGGCTTCAAATTGAGCACATGGCACAATGGGGTTGACCAAATTTTTTCGATTTTCTTTGAGACACTCATCGTTTTCGTCGTTCACGGAACTATTTTCAAGATTATTTGAGTTATTTTCGATTTTTTTCAAAATCTTCTCACTGGGTTTCAAAATGGCGTTATTTGTGTTGGAAATTCCCAAGGGCTGAAAGACATAAAATTCACTCCATGAATCATTTCAATATAGAGAATTGACTCAATTTACCTGTTTTGTTTTAGCGGCCACATTGATGTTGGATCGTTGACCTAATGCAGTCCTTTTTTGTTGGGCGGCCATGGCGTTATGCTTTTGTATATCGGGTAAACGATTCTCTTTATTTTCATTCCTAATTGTTGCCATTTTCAAATAAATTGACCGTTCTTGATTCTTGAATGAAGTGATAATATGCGGCTGGGCCAAACGCGATACTTCACCCGAAAGCACCGATGGAAGACTTCAACGGTCACTACAAAAATTACAAGAACGTTGGGCACAAGCATGCAGATGCAAGGCAAGATTATTGGATTATTGCGGGAAAGAACAGCTGAGGCGGTTGAAGGAAGTTTTCATTATGTAAATTTCAACCAATAAGGACCAACTGTTATGTCACGTGATAGTAAAAAAGTACACAAAACAAATGTCAACATGTGTCAACTATTCGAATTTGAAATAAGAATAATTCAGGTGACAACAATCATCCACTATGCAACATGAGGAAATTCATCAACTAATTTCACGATAATTATAAACGAATGAGCCGATTCAAACAAATTTTATCACTTTTACTTTTCTTTCTTGTTTATTTATTTGATCTTTGAAATCATGCACATCAACACATTTTCACAATCAGTGTCATTGTCAAACGTCAATCGTCATTCGTCATTTCGTCGCCACTCAAACTCAACATCAATCCACGAATCCACGATCAATCAATGTTATGGTTAGTTTGAAATTTTGAAATTCGAATTCGGGAAATTTTAAATTTACATGGTTCCTCTATCTATACGGTAATGGCTGAACAGTATAAGTAAGTATTCCAGTTTTCTGACACAATTTGTTGTCCGAATCTACAAAACCATGCTTTCATCATAAAATCACACATTACCACTTCTTATTAATATTTCTTTGTGGTTTTCAGATCTTTGCATCCAATTAAATACTATAGGGATTACTTTTCTCACCAAATTCGCCCTGATGGAAGAGAATTTAACAAATTCAGACCAATTGTACTCAATGTTGCTTCAATTGACACTGCTGATGGGTCTGCAATAGCAAAAGTTGGCAAAACCACTGTAGTATGTGGAATCAAAGCAGTAAGTGACCCAATTTTTTGTATATTATTATCTGCTGATGATTAAAAATATTTAACATAATATGACCTTCCTTAACCCCAAATTATTGTATTTTTTAGGAGCTATGTAAACCAAAGGCAGATTGTCCAAATGAAGGCTTCATAGTACCCAATCTGGAATTACCTCCTCTTTGTTCCCCAAAATTTCGACCTGGACCTCCCAGTGATCAAGCACAAGTCTTAACTCAACTCATAGCTGATATTATTGAAAACTCAAAATGCATTGATTTGTCAGATCTTTGTATTTTTCCTGATAAACTGGCATGGTGTCTTTTTGTTGATTTCATCTGCTTGGATTTTGATGGGGCTGTAGTTGATGCTTCAATTGTTGCCCTAATGGGAGCCCTAAGGACTGGTAGATATAAATATGAAAGTTAATTGGGTTTCTGAAACCATAAGTTAATTGTTTATTACAGCTACTCTGCCTTTTGTGGCATATGATCCTGCTTTAGACAATATTCAAGTAAACTTAGATGAAAAGAAAAAGCTCAATATCCATAATACACCTGTATCAACAACATTTGCAGTATTTGATGAGTAAGAATTGATATTTTTTTGTATATGGATGTTGCTACACAAATCATTGTTTTAGCAAAATTATATTGGCTGATCCAACTGTTGAAGAAGAAAATTTATGCACAGGTATCCTTACTATAGTTGTGAAAGATTCTGAACTTTGTTGTATCCATAAACCTGGTGGTAGTGCCCTTAGTGAAGAAGAATTATTGAAATGTATAGATGATTCCAAAGAAAGAATGATTCTAGTTAAAAACCTCATTGAACAAACCATAAAAGATGTTTAAGTGATTTAATCTAGGTGTTTATAGAATTTACCTATATCTCTTTGTTTTTATATCATTTTTGAGATACATATAATTGTTGTTTCCCAATTATTAATGGCTCTCATGGTTTTCAATTTCAATCTTTTTAACCTCATTATGTATAGTATACTTTCCTAATTTCCCTAAAAGAAGACAAAATTGAGTGAAGTAAAGTTTATTAGAAGTACTCATTAACAATAGGTATAGGAATGCATAATTTCACAAATAAATCATGAAATGAAAATACTTTTGAAAATACAGTCTCATAAGTTACTATTACTACCAAAACTATGCTAACAGTAAGTATATAGGTACCAAAATGAAAAACCAGTTATTTCCTCCCTCTTCTATTCATGTCTTGGGTCCAGTCTTCTCCTGATCTTCCTCCATTTTCTCTACCTTCTGCTTAGCAGGCTCCCCTGTCTGGACAACTGGTATAGCTTTGTGACCGATCTCCTTATCTTGAATCCTGGGAGCAGTAATACTCAGAACCCCATCACTAGACAACTTGGACTCAATGCTGTTCATGTCGGTGTTTTCCGGAAGCACATACCTCCTCACGAAATGTCTGAAAATCTGTCCATGCTCATCCTGCTTTTCTTCGTGCTTACCCTCAATCGTGATAGTGCGATCCCCTGTGACTTTCACCGTTATTTCCTCCGGTTTGAACTGCTGAACGTCCAAGTTGGCTTGGAATTTGTCTTTGTCGAAGGAAACGGTGGATCCGGAATCATGTTCTGAGGCGGCGGATCTCCAGTTGCGGACGTATCCCGCAGGACATCTCCTCAACCATCTCTGCAACGCCAAGGGTTGCAGGAAGTCCTCGGGGTCCAGAGCTAGCCCGAAGTGTTGGTCGTGGATTCTGGAAGGCCTCAAGGAGTGAGAGAAATCGTCAAACAACAAAGGCAGCAGAGACATTTTTGTAACTTTTTTATCAACGCACTTTGAGCTTCGAAACAACTTTGACTATTTTGGAATTCAAACTGATGTGGAAGGCGGGTGCCGGCTGCTTTTATAGTACGTCGGTTTTCATTCTAGATGGCTCTGGATGTGGCGGTCGTTGGGCGATGGATCTAGCAAGATCCCACATGTAAACAATCTGCGTTCTAGAATCTTGGGTTCATCGGATATGCACTTAAGAAACCACAGAATTTTGTTCCAGCTCATTTTGTTCACTTTAGTTCATAAAGAGACCTGTCTTATTGAAACATGTATGATCTTGAATATTTGTAGAATCTAGTTTTTCCATTTAAATCCTATTTGACCATAATAACCTCTGTTTAATATTCGTAAGTCATAATTATTCTATAAAAAAAAGTGTTCAATCAACTGCTTCATTCTTGAGATACAGGATGTTGACGTTGGAGGGATTAACTAAATTTCAGAATGAAACTAACTGAGATTATCGGGTAGGTCTCTCAATCGGTGTTTCTTGAAACCACCTAGAATAAAATTTGTAGTAATATCGAATTTGTATTGTGAAAACAAAGCGAGATACAGATGTGACACAAGGTCGCAAGGAAGAAAAATGAGTTACATTTTCAATTTTTATAAAATATGAAAAGGAAATCATCCACTGACATTCTCCTTATAGGTAGGTAGGTACCAATTTAGAACCTATCGATTTTAGACAAATCTTACTTCATTCAATTATGTGATTTGTAAATAGAAGTATGGATTGTTCAGTGAACTGTAACCTCTAGGGTTGAGTCACAATAAACCTATCTGGGGTGGGAGCATCCCGCGATGCCCAATTCCCACGATACCCAATTCCCACGATGCCCAATTATTCCTCTGGAGTCGTATATAGAGAGGTATATACTGGCACAGAGATGAGTTACCCACTTTGCCCCACTTTCATGAAACCTAACTTCACCATCTCGGAAACGAAGCAAGTTCAATTGTTCAATCATGATTTTTTTAAATAAAATATGACAAGGACTCATCCCCTGACATTCTTCGTAGGTAGGTACCTACTACGACATCCTTTGTAACTATATTAAGAATTAGGTAGATCATGGTAGATTAACCTCATCTATTCCGTAGTCGTTTTGACACTGATATGTAGATTTGTAGTGTGAACTAATATGGATTGGAATCGCCCTGTACTTCGTATATTTGGCACATAGGTCTGATTCATCCACTTACGCAAACGGAAGATGAGTAGTGGAGTGACGATATGTTAGTCAGTCAGTAAAAGAGAGTTGTTTGATACGGTTACTTGTATTATATTTTTGGTGTTGGGAAATATACCTAGTGATTTTGGACCTAAAGACAATTTCATTGAGTGAACCTTTTACAGTAGATAGATCTACCATATCTAACAAACATGGATTAATCGTTGGTAATCTCCCGATATTCCGCAATCACTAAGTATGTAAGCGGTACCTATAATAAAGGAATAGTGAATACCTATACCTAATAGTTTGAGAATCTTCCTTATTTTTGTCCTCTTTCTATTGCCATTAGTAGTTATTTTCGATAATAATTTTCGCTCAAAATTTCCTCATATTTCACATAATAAAAACAGATGCTGAATAACAGACTAAGGCAAATCTTATATCCGATGGACCACTTCTAGAATATCATCGATTTTGCCAGTAAACAATTCATTCGTTATTGCGCGAGGTTAGTGTCGCACTAACAGGCGACGTTGCCAGCTTTAATTACGCATTTATTTTATCATGAAAACTGATAACAGGATGTTATTGCAAACAGGCGTCAGGCAGGTACCAGATATAATAATAATTATTATTACCGAAAGAAAATTAAAATAATATGAAAAATAGCTGCGTATGTTTCGATAATGATGTACATAAGGCGTTGAGTTGTGAACATCAAAAACAAATATTCGACTTATTTCATTCAGTTCATTTTAGAGAAAAACTTTCAAACGAACAAAATTTCGAGATATTATGATGAATCCTGTGTAGTACCTACCTGAGAATTATTAAATCGGTAGCATGTAATAAATCATCTGTGCAGAAAAAGACGATTGAGTGGCTATATTTATGGAAATTCTCGAAATTCTGAAGGGCCTCCATGTAGAGAAATGATCACCTGTTAAATTCGATGGAACTCTATTTTTTAGAGGAACTAACGAAAAGTCAAATTCGACTCCAAAATGCAATGAATACTTTTATGGTTAGCTTTTTTCTTCAAGTGAGCTAGGTCTTTATTCATCGATTGGCAAAGTCTCAATTATTGATATTCAAACCTGGGACATCTTGTAAATACATACCTACATATACGTATATGATGATGTTGATAAACCGCCCTAAATCCAAAATATTGTTCTTTGGTTTTCGGATTGATTTCGAATACTGTATAGATATATTATAAGCGTAGTTTTCGAATGCTCTTTTTCTATAGGTTCATATTATTCGAAGATTTATTTGCCTAAATATACAGCAAAACCACAGTTTGAGAAATAAATACTATCCTCAAATAATTGTGCTGCAACGATATGACAAAACCTCAAGAATACCTCTATATACCTATAGGCCCCATATCACAGATTTCCAGATGACTCTTTTTATCTGTTCTATAGATCATTTTTTGCTTCAGAGAACGGAGAACACTGAACGTGAACAGGTAGTTAACGCTTGTTTTTAGATATTTTATTTTGTCAGTATTTGCCAGAAAGGAGGACTCAACTGGAGCGTGGACTAAAGTTAGCATTGATTTTTCTTTGAAAAACACAATTTCGTGTATTCCGAGGTGAATTCAATTAATATTCAATCAAACTCTTTTCGATAGTTTTTAAACGGCTCAAAGAAAGAGAATGAATCTCAATTGAATAATAGTTCTTTGTTTCACTATGCAGAAACGGACAACATTTAATACCGCGGCTGACATATATCGAACCAGCCATGGCATCTAATTTGCTTTTCTGCCGTGTGAAACATATAATTTTTTCCCCAAATTTGTTTCGATTTCACGCAAGTCCAAATAATCCATCACTTATTTTTGCTCATCCAATGATCATTGTCAATTTATTTGATTATCAGTTTGATTCAAAATTATTACTTGAGACTTAGAATATTGCATAGCATCTAACTTTCTCTGCCAAGGCAGAGAAAGTACAGAATTGCTTCCTGTTAAGTTATAGAAAAACCACTTTCTATTATGCCCTTTGGAGAAAAACATTTTTTTGTGCCTATATTTTTACTCTGCTCCTCTGCTCAATACTCGTCATATTGATACATTATGGAATTAAATATCCAACTTGAGTATTCATTTACGTGTTATCACAACATATTTTTCTTATAGGGAATGAAAACTCCGCAAAATATCTAATAGCTACCAACGAAACGTTGGTAACGGCAACGCTGTACGACGGTCTAGACAGTTCCTTGCTGGAAAGTTCTCTCTGCATCGATCAGCTGTGAATCGATTCCATTACATTCGAGATCCGATTCGAGAATTCTCCGGAATTTTCCATTGCGTTATAAAGCCGGCCGGCGAACGAAAACAAAACATTCCGTCATCCCGATCCGAACTGTCAACATTCCGTTATTGTCGTAGTCTGATCATAGTGAAACTAGTGAATCAAAGGTGAATCTAAGTGAAGTATAAAAAAAAATATTGCTGAATCTAGTATCAGTGACCAGTGATCATTGAATAGAATCATGAGTCTGTACCCCTTTTTCGAATTGGAGAATTACCTCTACCCTCACAGCCATCATGCCAGGTCGTATTCTCCGCACCAACGTCCTAGCCGCTTGCTGGACCAGCACTTCGGTCTGGGGCTGAGTCCACAAGAGTTTCCTTCGCTAGAAGCCATGGTGGCGATCCCCAGCCAGAGGTGCCCCAGAAACTACCTGAGACCGTGGAGGGCAGAGGCTTCCAAACGAGACTCCGGTTCAGTAGTCGCTTTCGACAAGGACAAGTTCCAAGTCAACTTGGATGTGCAGCAATTCAAACCGGAGGAGATCACCGTCAAACTAACAGGGGAAAACACGGTTACCATCGAGGGAAAACATGAGGAAACAGAGGATGAACATGGCTTCATTTCCAGGCATTTTGTAAGAAGATATGTGCTGCCTAAGAACTGCGATGTCGGCCAGTTGCAGTCGAAGCTTTCCAGTGATGGGGTGCTCACTATTTCAGCGCCTACTGTTAATCAGAGCATTGAGCACAAGGAGATTCCTATTCAGCAGACTGGACAGCCTGTCAGACGGGCTGTGGAGAAGAAGACTGATGAACAGAAGACTGCTGAAAAGATTGCTGAGGACTGAGTCAACAAATCCTGATGTTGAATAATGATAATAATAATAATATAATCACTGTCTCCTGTATGGCATTTATGTGTAGCCTGTATTCTTAGAATAACTTCTCGTTTTTTTATGTTTAGGATTTTTTGTCAATTTGTTGTAGGTATTAGTGGAAATAAAGTTTCGTTTTGTTTTTTTTATTCTGACATTGACTTTTATTTGTTTACAATTATTGCAGAAAGAATAATAATCTTTTTCTCCAAGCGGCAGGTATAGTGGCTTTTTTCTGCTCAACAGGCAAAAAAGGTGTACTGTTACTGCCTAGGCAGAAAAAGTTTGTTGCTATACAATGCTCCAAGAAATTCTAATGAAATTAGTAATCAAAATTGACACCAACATTGGATGAAGTCAATCAACTACTTTTCTGCCTAGTGAAACAAATAACTATTGATGGATCGATGGATGATGTGAGTTTCAGTGGTTCAATCTCATCTGAATTTTTTATTTCATACATTATAACCATAGATTATGCAAATGTCACTGACATAAACATACCATAGGCAACCAAGTATACAATTCGTCAGTATAATGGGTCGTCCAAAAATCAGGACGAATTAGATTTCTTCCTCTGGATGGCAATTAGTGCCAGTGTTGCCGTCTTAGCGGTTTTATCGCGAAATCCATCGTTTTTGTCTAAGAACAAAACTGGAGATCCCAAATGTCCCTGATTCACGTAACCGTATATGGAATTTTTTTTCAAGAAGAGTGCGTAAGTCAGGTCGAAAACCAGAATCATTCGCTAGATTTATCTACAGGGACTACTGTAGATTCAACCATCCAGAATAAGTGTTGAATCTAGTACAATTTATTTATGATGGTACAAAATATTTTGACGTGGCAAGTTGGCAACGCTGTCGGTGGTTGTGTTGTGGTTGCTGCATGGTTGCTGCATTGGTGGAAATGGTGGGAATGTCAAATATTGTGGCACAGTGGGGAAAAGTGAATGTTTTCGTATTTTTAATCAATGTTTGTTAGTTAATCTTGATCGTTTTTCACTTTTTCAGTTCAAGTTTAACCACCAAGAAAAACAGAACTTGAGCACTCTACCTGCTTGAAAACAAGTGAGAGAAGTGAGGTTAAGGAGTTTGGCACTTGCAATGATCTTGATAATATCTTGATATTTACCTATATTACGAACCTAATGATATCACGATTAATATGATAAGAACATTCGGCTGACGAAGGCATGTTTGTGAGGTGGAAATCATGAAAAGAAATATCAGAACTTTGGTGAAATATCTACTGCTATCTTCAGTGACTGTGGTGTTTACAGTGCTGTTTTATAGAATTTTCAAAAGTAAAGATTTCAGGTACACTGATGTGCAATTTGGTGCTAAATATGGGGGAGTTGAGCCTGTGGCCCCTCAAAATGTAAGACATATATAACTGTTTTGTAGTCTAAAAAGTCTCTAGGTTATGGATTTTTTGGTTTCTAGGTACTTGCATTTGATAATGAAAAAATAGATTGGCATGATTATGATCAAATAAAACAAGAGTCTATGAGAACAGGTTTGTACTTATCTATGAAATTTGAAAACCTAAGGAACATGAAATCCAATAAAATCATTCACTCAGTGAAATTGATTATCCTAAAGTTGAGTTTGCTGGAAGCTGGGGAAGGTTTCCCCATATTAATAGCCTACTAGATTGTTCCAAATTATATTTTTTGCTCTTTCAACTGATTGAAAAAGTATAATATGCTGAGTAATATGCACAGTGAATGAATCAAGAATGAATGGATAATGAGGAAACAAGAATAAACAATAGATATATTATTAAAGACTAGGTATTCATAATTGAATCAATATCTACATGGGAACTTTCTCAAGTTCCTCACCATCAATTTATATATACCTAATTAAGTATCAACAATTTAAGTGCATGTTTACTTCAGTAGGAACCTATTTCACATGAATTTAATCAATCAAGTTTGGATGTGTGCATATTATTTAATTCTAATTTATTCTGAGTTGGAATCAGTGTGACTGTAACTTTTCCTTTCATTCTTTGATTTACATAATGTCTGAATAACATCATGAACTATAAGCATAATCATGAATGAAAAACAATAGATGGTAGATGCAGATGGACTTCAGTTTTGGAAGAGTTTTGAGGAATTTCTATTTATACCATAGATCAAATGAAATTCCCAGCAAAATAAATATTTGAAATGTTTCCATGATTTACATAAATGCTTGCATAAATGCAAATAACTCCACCTAGTTTCACAGATAATCTTAAAAATTCTCAATGCCAAATGGAATAACTGGATTGAAATTCTGATGCATAGGTAACTAATTATTATAGGCTTGAAACAGGCATAACATTAAGTTTAAGTACATGCCAAGATACATATCAATTATTCATGAAAAAAAAAATGGAATCAATAGTTTTGCTGTGTGATGAATAAAGCTTTAAGTGTATAGCAATGACCTTCAAATAAAAATAGTAGGAATTGAAGATCATTCAACTAATTTGAGGTTGAAGAACTGGTTTCATTGGATTTATGGTTTAATCCACAAATAGACCTAGAGATTATTCAGCATCCACAACATTACACTTTTAAGGTCCTGGTGAACAGGGAAAAGCTGCTTATTTAAATCAGGCTGAAAACCACAATTATGATGCCTTGTATAAAGTGAATGGATTTAATGCAGCCCTAAGTGATAAAATCGCTGTAGATAGGGCAGTACCTGATATTAGACATAAAGGGTCAGTACCTAGAAATGTGTTTACATCCATAGGTTGTATTCTATTTTATATGTTCCAGATGTAAAAGTAAGAAATATTTGAAAAATCTTCCTAGTGTTAGTGTGATAGTACCTTTCCATAATGAACACTGGACTACTCTTTTAAGGACAGCCACTAGTGTTGTCAATAGATCTCCACCACATCTTTTAAAAGAAGTTATTCTTGTGGATGATTTTAGTTCTAAAGGTATTTGTTGCTTTTTTAATATGTTTTTTTTTTCAATTCAAGTCTTCTGGTTTTTCAGAGTTTTCTAGGAAACCTTTGGATGACTATTTAGCTGCAAATCTAACAAAAGTTAGAGCTTTACATTTACCAGAGAGAAGTGGACTGATAAGAGCTAGATTAGCAGGTGCTAGAGAAGCTACAGCTGAGGTATTGATTTTTTTAGATTCACATACAGAAGCTAATGTCAACTGGCTGCCACCACTCTTAGGTATGAAGAGTTTTTTTTTTCAATTGATTATGTGATTCCTCTCCTAATGAGCTAATGAAAGTTTGAGTTATTGTTTTCAATGAAAGAATCAGTTCAGCAAGGTTATATAAATAGTGAAAGAAATAGAATTATTCATTTGTTGCAAACAATCACATGGATAGGTAATCATTCCAATTGGATATTAGAATTGAAGGAAGTTTTTTATGTGAAATTCATTATCAGTGAAATAAAAGTATGATCATTTTCAAATGATTGTATTTTATTTTTTTAATAGAAATGGAATGAAAAAAATAGAATCCATAAATCAATTTGGAATACTTAGTGATATTTGTTGTAAGCAAAATTTTTTTGAAAAGAAATATCAAACATTATTAATCCACAGGGCTTTTCTGTTGTCAACTGGTCAGCAGAGTGATATTATTGATATTAACATGGAGCCAAATGTTATGGTCATTGGTATAAACCAGTCAAACAAAAAGTGATATTTTGCAACTTAATTATTGACATTTTGAAGCAGTATTTTTTTAATTAAACAGGGTTTTGAATTACTTTTATTTGGTGCATTCTTCATCTCCAACATTCACTTTATTCTATATGAGTTAACTATCACTTGTCATTTGTCATTCTGCCTTGATATCCTTGAATGTGAGATGACATTGATTTCAGCAGGGCTACACTGGCTCAAATCAATTTTTCACTCTCAAGGTCCTGATTGTTGTTAAAGTTTGACCACCCTGAGAATTAATTTATAATAGTATCAACTTATTTCAAATAATGTGCAATTCCTTATTTTTGAAATATTCCCAAACACAGGGAGTACAACTCTAAATATGCCAAAGTATTTTTCATCACTGAATCAACATTCCCATACGTTTACCTGACTATTTTTTTTTTAAATTTGATAACAGTGATTTGAAGAAGATGAACATGGTGATTAATCCTGAATGTTCTTTATTGGAAGGAAGTGTAGGAGCAGAATCATGTAGAAACTCCTTTTGAGAATCTGCCCTAAAAAAATCCACAAATGAAGAATTCTGACAAATGGCATGATTATGTTTTTTAGAAAAAATACTGTCTGAATCTGATAGTCAGTATTTTTTCTAAAAAACTTCATAATAAAGCTATTCAAGAAGTTTATCCTATCATCATGAATAATAATCCAAATTATAGAACTTCAACCTATTTCGGATCATCAACTGAAAAATTAGCTTCAATTCTATCCCTATCCTCCCTAGGAACGCACGATGTTCTTTGAACATTATAGGGATTCCCTTTCGTGCGCTCCAAGTGATAAAAAAAACAGGACTTGAGAGTAGCGTATAAAACAAATAACAGGTTGGGAAGGTTTATCAAAAATAATAAAGACAAACCTTCTAAATTCGAAAAATCAGGGGTATACAAACTGTGGATCTTGTCCTAAGGTATATATCGGTCAGACAGGTCGTACGTTTAATCAGCGTATTCAAGAACATAAGACAATTTGTTTGAAAAAGAAAACAAATTCAACATACGCCAACCATATATTAGAAGAAAACAATAGTTTTGATGATAATTTCGAAATTCTACATGTAGAAAATAAAGGAATGAAACTCAAATCATTTTGATTCATTAGAAATCAATAAACTCGAAAATTTTGACATTTTACCACTGTCGAATTTGTTTTCTTAGTAGGTAATAATATTTATTTGCTATGAACCCTTTCAAGTTGATCCGATATACCGTAATTTAATGTAGATATATATTGTGCCTAATTTCCGAAAATGGAGGTTTATCCATCCTGTCCAAAGGTAACTAATCCTTCAAGTTGGGAAAGTAGGATATATAAAAGTTAAGCAAGCCAACGTTGGTTTAGTTGATCGTACCAGTATATCACCTGACGAAGCTACTATGTTAGCGAAACATGTTGTGTATTTGAGAATTTTGTGGAAATCTTAGCGTTTGTGAAGTTTTTAAATTTACTTCCCTACCAATTATTGTGATTTCTTCAAATCAAATAGTCTCAAAAAATCCCTAATAGGTATGTCTCCCTTGCTTCCACCAGAATTCTAATCCAATCTCCACTGATTTGATGTAATTTGAAATCTTATCTAGAACCAATTGCTCAAGACTATAAGACCTGTGTATGCCCATTTATTGATGTGGTCCAATATGAAACATTCGAATATCGAGCCCAAGATGAGGGGGCTAGGGGGGCATTCGACTGGGAATTTTTCTACAAAAGGCTGCCTTTACTCCCAGAAGATCTCAAACATCCTACAGAACCATTCAAGTGAGTGTGTTGAAAAATACAAAATATACAATGTGCAGAGAAGTGCAAAAATAACGGACAGTGCTGAAACTCATTCGAGGTCAAATTTTCAAAGTGGGTAGCCAGGTCAGACTAAATAACAATAGATATACACAGCGATTCATTAAACAATCACGAAAAAGTTTAGGTCCATAATCCAACGCCAAATACGGATAATTGAATGAAATTTGAATGATGAATTCAATGTATTTTTATTATTAATATATCAATAGACACATTCAAAATATTGCTTATACAGGGTGATTCAGGTTTTGAGGCACAAACTGAAATGGAAGATAGATCTCATCATTTCAATCAAAAAAGTTTATATAAACATTAGTCCGATCTCGTTCAATAGCGAAGCTACAGGGGGTCAAAGCTTAATTATTTTTTTCTATTAATTGAAATATCTCGCTTACTTTTCAAGATATTATTTCGAAATTCGGTGTGGTCTAAAACATGTTAATTTTGCCTATGTTTCGCTCAAATTTTATTCATCTGGAAAAAAAAACTAAACTTTCTACCCTCTGTATCTCCTTTACAGATCCAGATTGGACTCGTTATTGCAATTTTAGTGAGTATATTTCATTGCACTTTCAAGGAAAATAGAATGTTAGCGAAACATAGTCAAAATGAACATGTTTCAGAACGTTTATGCTTATTTATCTCAAAAACGGTCCTTTTCTCGAAAAAAATGAAGGAGCAAAAAAGCCTTCGAATTGAACGATCCACACAATTTGATCACTGAAAGATGCCAAAGACGTACTACGAAAAAGTTTGGGGGGGATAAAGAAGTCTCAACCTCCAAAAATGTATCACCCTGTAGATTTTTAAAATCTTTAAATGGCTTGAAATCATGATCTTCTAGAAAGTATTGATCACACCAAATTTCAGAGCGATATCTTGAAAGATAAGCGAGATATTTCAATTAATAGAAAAAAATAATTTAACTTTGACCCCCTGTAGCTCCGCTACTAAACGAGATCGGACTAATGTTTATATCAACTTTCTTGATTGAAATGATGAGATCTATCTCCCATTTCAATTTGTGCCTTAAAACCTGAATCACCCTGTATATTAACTTGCTCTCTAGGTTAACAAATTTTGAAACAAACGAGAACACATTCAAAAAATGTACCCTGACATTTAATTGACGCACTAGGCCACCTAGATCTTGTACATATCAATAATATCACCCCATTACAGTGCCACACTGTCTAACTGGGAAAATAAAATTAGGTAATAGTAATTTTCCTAACAAGTGCAGAAAGTGATTCTTTCCCGCACGTGACTGCCGTTGACACGAACGACGCGAAGCGGAGTTCGGGCAAGCAGTCGAGTGCGGGAAAGAAACTTTCCGCATGAGTTAGGGACAATATTTTTTATACAAGCGTAGGAAATTGATTGAATCGTTCAATTAATTATTCAAGCAAATAGGAACAACTAACAAGAGATATATATTCTCTATCTATTAATTATTAGTAATAGCTATTGTGAACTTACAGTTTGACGCATTATGTTGGTTCATTGCGGAAGCCAGCAGGCCCATTAGGAGTTTGGTCTCTAGGTTCCAAACACTTCTATGAAATGAGCCAAAAATACCTATTCTTCATTCCGTTTTTTCATTTTTTTTTATTGTTGCACCATTCAATAAAACGCGTGTATAGCTTCTCATACCTTTCTTAAGACTTCGTTGGTGATAACGTATCTGTATCAAATTCCTATAGCTAGAAGTTTTTGATCACATTGTGGCATTTCCACTGAATCGAAAATGACAGTAACGCTGTGTCTGTCACTTCGACAATTTCAAACTTATTTGAGGTTTGATTGGCATGACACATTGACGTTTCCTGTCCGATCAATCCAAATCTATAGGGGGATTTTTATAATAATCAATTTTTATTTCTCAATATTTCTTAATTTTTACAATAAATAGTGCAATTTGATGGATGATTCTGAACATACATACTTAATACTGCAACAAACAAACTTAAACTTTTATATTCCATCACCAACCACTTACATTACTAGTGATTTTATCATATCTTTGTTTTCCCGCACCGTTGCGGGAAAATGACACTTCCCAAACTAAATTGCGTGCGGGTATAGGGTGAAACACGCACGCTTGTAGAAAAAATATTTTGCATGCCTTGATCGACCGACTGTGAAGAATACCAGCAACAGACATTAAGACGAATTCAGCGGCTTTATTGAAAATGAAACACCTGGACAACGTTTTGAAGTTTAGGTGTTTATTGTCAAAAAATCAAATACCTGGACAACGTTTTGAAGTTCAGGTGTTTATTGTCATTATTGATAACGTACTGTCTGCTTTAACTGAACGTATGAAGGCATACAAAATTACTAGTCTTTTTCGAGTATTTCGACAGCTAAAATATTTGACAACAAAAGAGATTTTGAAAAAATCCTCAATAATGGTGGGTGCTCACAAAGATGATTTGAAAACCAGCCTAGGCGACGAATTAGTGCAGTTCGCTGAGCTGCTGAAAACAACTGTGGCTACTGTCATTCACAGCAACAAACCTTTGGAGGAGCCTCTGGGACTGCAATCCTATAAACTTTTATTAAATAATTCCTTAGAATCGTGTTTCCCAAACGTAGAAATTACCTTGCGAATTTACACTTTGTCTCTCATGATCACTAATTAAAGTTGCGAACCTTCTTTTTTGACATTAAAACGTATTCAAAATGACTCAACTTAAGGAACACGATGGGCCAAGAACGTCTAAATCATTTCACTCTGATGGATATAGAGCATGATTTGCCTAAAAGAGTCAATATTGAACTCTAAATGTGTCCATAATGAATTCAGAAAAGTTTATTTGAAATAGCCAAGGGCCCCTTGATATAATCTGCTACAGGCCCCGCGCTGGTTGAATAATTGATTGAAAAATTGATCTCCTGAGATTTTCATCAAGAAGAGCTGTAAATATGTTTGAACCATCGTCTGAATAACTAAAATAACTATTATTTATGGCTTTGAAAATTTGACACCAGAGGCCGCACCCTTCGTGATTTTCGCGCACCCACCAAATTTTTAAATCCGAACTCGAAGCACTGTTAGTTTTTCTATGTAGTTACTTTCATTATCAGCCATAGATTTTTGTTTATAAATTTCTCAGGAGCCCCATAATGGCGGGGGGGCTGTTCGCGATAAGCACAAAATTCTTCTGGGAACTCGACGGTTACGACGAAGGCCTGGACATTTGGGGTGGGGAGCAGTATGAACTTAGTTTCAAAATTTGGCAGTGCGGGGGGCAGATGTACGACGCCCCCTGCTCCAGGGTGGGGCACATTTACAGGAAGTACGCGCCCTTTCCCAATCCCGGGAAGGGGGATTTTGTCGGCAGGGTAAGTGAAGCTCGGATGAATTTTTGATCATTTTTATGAACATGGTTTCGAAACTTGAAAAATTCTGATTCCTTTCGGAGGTATCAAAAAAAAAAACGAAACTTAAAATGTTATTTTTTTCAAGCTATTTGATGGAAATGAAATATTTTATCATGGCAACTTTTTATTCCTACAAGATGGAGTTTTAAAATTTAAAATCCGACTTTTACCGACTTCATCAACTTATTTTTTTTAATATGGACGTGGATTTTTTATTTGATTGTTTTTCCGTCGGATAGCCCGAAAGCTATGAGCTATCACATTTTTTTTTTCAAATGTTTGGTTTACAAGAATGAACACTTTCTGAATTTTTTTGTTCACATATATTTATTATTTATTTTTCTGAATGCACTTCGATGTACGACAAATTAACTTTTGTACAAGAAATATAATATTTTCATCAAATGTTGACAGTGTGGCAGTAATTGTCACTGAAATGAATGTCAGCGTTTCATTTGTCAGATATTTCAACGCTGCATGTGATTTTGAAGTATGTTGTGAAAAAAAAAAGTAAACTGGCTGAGAGTGTTCACATCAAGACTCACACCCCTGTGAAACATCAAAAGTGATTTGGAAAACATATCATCTTGGATGCAAATTGATAAGTTGACTCTCAATTTTAACAAATCTTCATCTCCAAGAGATCATGTAATATTTTGAATATTGCAATAATAACTTTCAACAATAGAGTCGTTAAATATACAGACGTAGGAACATTTTTAGGTCTCTATGTTGATGAAATATTATTGTGGACAAAACACATAGACCATTCGAGGAATAAAATGAATCCAATTATATAGGCATTTTATTCAAAATCAGAAATATCATTCCTGTAAAATACCTGAAGTCTATTTACTTTTTCCTCATATTCAAATTCACAATATTCAATTTCTATTTGGGTGAGCATACACATTTCACGACTAAAACCACTAATGGAATTACAAAACAAATCAATTGAGTGCATTTTTCCTGTAAATTTATACAAACCTAGACAATTAGAATCTGATTTCGTTATATAAACTCGAGTTGTTTCATTCATTTTGTCAGGAATAAATTCAAAATATCAAACTTCACATTTAATGAAGTCAATTCTTGATAGCAAATACATTCAAGCCGAACATTAGCAAACAATCTCTATTTCATAAATGGAATAATTGAATACAAGTAATTAGAATGAAGTGATGAATATACATGATGTAAGAAGATTTAAAGTATATCTTAAACAATACCTGGTCAGGACAATTCTGATTGAGAAATATTTAGCAGGATTTTATTACTCAGAATTGAAATGTATTACTTTCATCTTGAGAAAAAGTATGAATTTGTTTCCACTGAGTGGAATTCATTAGTTAACCTTTTATTATTAATAATATTTTTTGATGCGTCCATGTATCCCATGTATCCCTATTATAAACAGATATGTTTCTTGGGGTAATAAAGGCAATATATCAATCAAAGTAACCTCTTTAATTTTTTCGTGTGTGACGGGTAAACAGTTTGATATTTCATCTCTGTTACAAAATGTCACTTTTCATAAAAACCTTCCTTCTGTGACGGCAAAAAAGTTTTACATTTTATCTCTGTTAACAGGTTACAAAATGTCTTTTTTCCCACGGGAAAAGTGAGTACTGTTCCCGGATATATAGGTGCACTGTTGATGACCACTTCGCGGTTATGGAAATTACTAAACAACCACTGTTCACATTTTTTTTAAATCAAAACAGAAATAAATTGATACATATTCGATCACTTCAGAAAGTTTTCATAGCAACAATAAAGATACCTACAAACGCAGGTGTAGGTACTACACCAGTTAATAACTTCAAATTTTCTGATTTTATCATAATGTAATATATTCTCAATATTGAATCGTCGTTTTTCCTGTCACATAAAAAAATAGTGTATTATACACGGAAAAATATTAGATTTTAGCTCTCTTTTTTAGTATCTTTGTGACTCAAACAGAGTCACTTTTGATCCGAATGAAACATGCAATTTTTTCTGCAATCGAAATAATTGACATCTAATTAATCAAATATAAGTGAAGTTACCACTATTTTGACTCATTTAACCATGTCAGTGTCAAAGCAGCTATCATATCAACTGTCTTCCGATACACGACGATACTTTTAGTTCCTAGAAATTGAACTTCAACTCTTGCTCATCGACACTAAAAGTGTTGCCTAGCAATGAACATACTTATCATTTTATTGTGTCAATAAGGGAAACGTCAATTTCAATATCAATTTTGGAACGAATATGGACGACTTTAGAGTCCATTGCAGAAAAATAACAATTTTTCAGAATTATCGTCGTGTTGCCGAGGTTTGGATGGACGAATACGCTGAGTATCTGTACATGAGGAGGCCGCATTATAGAAATCTCGATACCGGCGACTTGACCAAGCAAAAAGGGCTGAGGGATAGGCTGCAATGCAAACCCTTCAAGTGGTTCATGAAGAACGTTGCCTTTGATTTGCCCCTGAAATATCCTCCCATCGAACCTGGAGATTTCGGAGTGGGAGAGGTGAGTCCAAAGAAGGATTATTATTGTTATTATTATTGTTATACCACCTCCAAAAGTTCTGACGAAATTCCTATACTTACCTTTTATTGGTATGCACAAACCTGATGAAGATTCCCTTTCTTTTACGATCCAAAAGATAAAAAAAATGTTTATCTATCACACCAATAATCTATGAATGCATACTCTTGAACTGAATATTATCATATCTTTGGTAGAAGTGCATGGTTTCTCAACCTGGAGTCAAGTATTAAATACTAAATGATACACAAAGTCATCTCCACTTGATCTTTATGATAATAATACATCATAAAAAATTGGTACATGTTTCGGACATATATATGTCCATCATCAGCCTTACATCAGAAATCACATAATTGTCCTAGAATTGAAGTAAGTTATTAGTACAATCTACAAGAGTAATGAGAATAAGAGTGCTTACATGGGGATAAAAAGGTTATGTCAACAACATTTACATTAGAAAAAATAGTGAAGGGTTTCAATTGTGGAGAATTAATTATGGGGAAACCCAACAAACCCCCGGAACCCGGAATCATTTCATTTTATTTTATGGTGGGAACCAACAAATGGCACACATGGATGCTACATTGAAACTAGCAAAAACGTGGTACAAGGCAAGATGATGTGGCCTATTTGAACAAATAGAAGAACTCGAGTTATAGACTTGAGCAGACTTATGTTTTTTCACTCTCAATGTGGACCTTTACGGTCAATTCTTACATTGACGGAGAGAAAAATATCGTAGGTCCGAATGAAACGAATAGAAGAAGTATACTTATACTTATCAGTTCTACCAACTCTGACGTCACGTTTTAGTAGCGCGATGTGGTGGACAATAAATTATGTTAACCCTAACTGACAGATTGACCTTGGAATCAGAATAATTGTAGTATAATCTGTCAATCAAGCCCTCATTGCAAGATACATTCGCCAATTAGCTCAATTGACAGCATGGACGAGTGGACTGATAATGAATTATTGGCATTCAATTACTCCACTTCTACTGCATTTTTTTTAACTAATGAGTGTATGCGTTGTTAAGAATTGTTGAATTTCAGCTCATTTCAAATGTACCGCCATGGCCGCCATGGTGACGTCAGTTTTTATGCTGTTTCGTTATTGGTCAGATAATCTTCCATTCCCACTTTTGAAGCAAGGTTAGAGTTCTGTCGTTGAATGAAACATAATAGGAGGAAGACATGATATTATAGTTCATTTTTGACTTTTTCTAGCAACCAGCATGTCCAAATATTCCTAACACTCCATAACAAGATATCATCTAAATGTTGGAGACTTGTAACATGCGCTGAATGCTGAGAACTGACAATACATATTGTTGGGTCCATATCAGAATTCCAACATGGATTTGTAAAAGCTCGTAATACGATTTCAAACCTCTGTACTTTCACTCAATATGTTTCAAATGCATTGGATAATAGGAAACAGGTGGACGTGGTTTACACCGACTTCAGTAAGGCTTTTGACAAAGTGTCTCATCAATTACTGTTGAGGAAGCTGGACCAATTTGGAATTTCCAATAAACTTCAATGCCTTCTGAAATGTTACCTGTCGGATAGAAATCTTTATGTTGAGTATGAAGGAGAAAGAAGTTTCGAGTTCACCGCATGTTCTGGAGTACCGCAGGGATCCAATCTAGGGCCACTACTGTTCCTCATGTTCATTAATTACATATGTGATTCCATTAAATCGAATAAGCTCCTTTTTGCTGATGACATGAAAATATATAGTGGAATTCATGACATAACGGACCGCATTTCTTTACAGCATGATCTGTCTAACCTTCTGAAATGGTGTAACTCAAATAACTTACCACTCAATATCAGTAAATGTAAAGTGATGACATATTCACGTGAGTCTCCTATTGAACACAACTATATGCTGAACGATAACTTTGTTATGAGGGTGCATGAATGTAAGGATTTGGGAATAACGTTCGACACGAAGTTGACATTCTCTGCCCACATAGAAAATATTGTTAATAAATCAACACGCCTACTCGGATTCGTTATACGAAATTGCAAAGAATTTCAATCAGTCGAAGCAATGAAATGTGTATACTTCTCTTTGGTTAGGACGAAAATGGAATACGCCAGCCAAATATGGAATCCCTATCATAATAAGTATATTGACAAACTTGAGAACATTTAACGTAAATTTTTAAAATTTATTTATTTCAAAGTGCGCGGCTCGTATCCTGTGAGACACTATGATTATCACCTACTTTTGAATGAATTCAATATTGTCTCTTTAAAAAAACGTCGTGAAAGTGCTGCTCTCTCCTTCATCCATAAACTCATCCACAATGAAATCGATTCATCAACTTTGTTGTCTTTCTTAAATTTCAATGTACCTCGCTCAGTCTCTAGAACTAGCCTAACTTTCCATATTGATGTACCTAATTCGCAGCATCATTTTCAAAATGGTATTAATTATATGTGTAGATGTTTCAATAATTTACCCTCAGTAGATATATTTTTTTTGAGTTCTGGTCACTTCAAAAAAGCTCTGTATAGGCTCATATCAAACTAACATAATCATTGGTTGAAATAGTGTTCTTATTTTCTGTTCATTATCATACTCATAGATATTTATGTTATAGTCATAGTGTTATACTATGCTTAGATAAGTGTGTGATGCACATTCTCCTCTTGTTATATACTCCTGTAATTGGACTTTTAGTCTGTTGGATGTATTTCTTCAATAAATAAATAAATAAATAAATACAACTCCCACAATTCGTGCGCCCTGTTGAAATCGTGACGTCAGTTATTCTTATATGCGGTACATTTCTAGCTACTTGATAATTACCGTGGCATTATTGATGATTTTAATACCTTCAAAATTCGAACAAAGGAATTGAAAAGTATTTGACTGATGATTCTATTTAAGAAATAAAAAAAATTAATCCACTTGCGTATTCAAACGAAAAAGAAATGTCGTCGATGAGGATGATCGATCGAACATTTTTTCAACCAGATTCGCAACTTGGGTGCCCCCGAACTATGCGTGGACTCCGGCTTCAAGGACAAGGACCAAATAGTCGGCCTCAAAGAGTGCGTTTCCGATAACAAGCAGCGCGGAGAGCAAAACTTCACCCTCACGTGGCACAAGGACCTTAGGGTGAAGGGCAAGTCGATGTGCTTCGACGTTTCGGATCCGAACGAAAAGGCAGATGTCGTGTTGTATCCCTGTCATGGGATGAAAGGGAACCAGTATTGGAGATACGATGTCGTAAGTGGATGATACTATTGAATATTTTCCGGAAAATAAGGCCTCACCTCTTGAATAACAGTAGATAGAGACTGCGATTCATTCAGAATCGTAGCTCATTAAAAAGTATACGCCAACAATCCTAAACAAAGAACACGGATGAATGAAATCGCGAATGGTGAGGATAATAAGAGACACTTGTGCATTTGCATACTAAATAACAATAGACATACACATCGGGATTTCCATAATTTCAATGTGTGTATGTCCATTAATAAATCAATTCTTATGTATTGTTACATAATAATACGCCATTTTGTGAAGTTTATGTAAGGTTATTTCATATATTCAATAATATAGACACGCTTTTCATCAACAAATGCAAGCCCTGAAACAACACGAACACTCTACAAAATATCTACTGAGAAATATCGGGTCAGGGTAATATATTTGTAACTAACTTTTCTTTACAAAGGACCCCGCACTTTTAGTACGTAAAATGGTTCTCGGTGAAATTTTCTGAATTTTCAGTATGTTGTAGAATTCGATGAACTGATTGAACCTGCAGAATCGTAAAGTTCTTTGATGAACAGATTCTGAGATACAGGGCGTTGAAGTTACAAATCGGTATTTTTCATTTAATTATTTTCTCGAAATTCAAAGATGGCAAGTACAATTTTCTTCGCTCATATCATTAACGAACCTCCATATTGATGAACAGATTCTGAGATACAGGGCGTTGAAGTTACAAATCGGTATTTTTCATTTAATTATTTTCTCGAAATTCAAAGATGCCAAGTACAATTTTCTTCGCTCATATCATTAACGAACCTCCATATTACTCAACATAATTCAGATGGTTCAGATGATGTTATTGTTTACAGAGTGAAACATATGAACATTTCATGTGATGTCTGAAAATTCGATGTTATAATGAAATATCGAAAAAATAATTTAGGCATGCAATATACTTTTCTCATTCCATCATGAATCACAATTCATACATTTCATACAGAGTGATTTGAAAAATTGGTGACACCTAAGACCGATTTATTCATACACATCCTGTATATTCGAGAGAATTGTTACCCTCCCAAGATAGCTGATACCGTATGAACATGATTTCGTTGAGATATATAGGGTGATCATGAAGATTTTCGATGATGAAAATGACAAAAAATCGTGTTTTTTGAAATCACCCTGTTATTCATGATTAAAATTCCCTAATTATTTTTTAATATATTTATCATTCGCTCCCCAACGCTGTCTTGAAAATTCAGTTTCCTATCATGACGGGTGTCATAGTTATTAATTCAGGAACTCCCCATTTGCATGAATAGTTGAAGAGACTTGGTCACTTACATTCGCATAGTGGCCGATATTTTTCACAAATAGTGAAACGTGAGAATGTGGAGACGAAAATAAATTCAGTATTCATATACAGGGTGAACATTAGAAAATTCAATAACAATAGCAGATATATGAATTTAATAATATTAATATAATGTACAGATAGTTAGGCGAATTTCGTTGGTATACAAGCTCTGCCAAAATGAAAAACGAACAATACCTAGGAGATGGGAGAATGATTCGGTCTTTCACGCTTCCATTTCTAATAGGGAGAGTTGAATCCTGGAATCGACAGATTTTTTCACATTTGTTTTCCACTCAGAATCAGGCGTTTCCATCATTTTCATATTTGCTTGCTATCAGTAATTATTATAATATCATCAGATTCATATTCATATTCATACGTATGATGGTGTAATATAAATAATCCTATTATACTGAATGTTTCCGAAATAGCAGCGATAAATATGAAAAGGTGTTGTATGGGACATAATGGCAAAAAAATACTGAACTTGTCACGCGGCTACTGATTGTTGATTTCAGATTGGGTGTTGTAACTTAGAATATTCCCTTTGTGGAATTTATTGTTTATCAATTTATGAAGCCTTGAAGAAACTTGTTCATTTACATTAGTCAAGTGGCCGAGATTTTTCACAAATAGTGAAACGTGAGAATGTGGAGATCAAGTGTAACATAAATCCACCATTCCGAAGCAAACTGCATATACGGCACATGAGTTACAACATACAACTCATACATGTTCCAGATTCAATTCTGGCTGCTGGGATAGTTGGACTCGTTGGCCCTATCGTGTATGAGGCACCGGTACGGGACATCACTAATCACTAAAGGTGACTAGGAACAGCCTTAACCGAATCCACCTCTCCCGTAGCAGCGCTACGATCCTCACACAATAAGAAAACCCTGTCGCCTGTCGGGCCAGGGCCTACTCTTAGAGTAGGCCCTGGTCGGGCACATAACTTCAAGTCTATAGTTTATGGAACGTGAATGAAAGATGACTGGCGCCTAGAGACTGAAGTTTAATAATGTTTGCATGGTTTTCTTTGGGCTTCGGGTGTTGTTTTGGAAATGAGGAATCATAGACATTTGCATTATACCTATCAAATAGCTACTATTCCTGTTATTATGCACCGAGAAAACAAGTCGGTAGTAAATACCAAACGTTTAGTAAAATAGGCGCCAGTAACTATACATTCATCAAATATCACAACAAAATAGTATAATACTATACTATATCAAATAATATTACTACTACCAAATTGTATCATACAAATACTATATAGTATCCTATTTTGTAGTGGTAATATTTGATGAATATAGTGACTGGCTCCTATAATTCACTGAACGTTTGGTATTTACAACCGACTATTTCTCTGGGTGTGGACAAGGTGGGAATTTGAGATTGTTTCGGGCAGAAAATCAATCTCTATTCCCGTTGTGGTGTTTGATTAATCTTATATTGGTGGTTGCATGTTAGTTAGCTGATTGACTAGGGTTAGGGTCCTTGACCTTGGACATTTGTATATTGTATAATTGGACTTTATACTGTGAAAGTCCCCTCATGAGAAAATAAGGACAGACTCAATCGTCCCATTAGAAACTAATCTGAGTAGTAGGATATCCAAGGATAAAGATTTGAAGATATTTGTATGGAATTCCAGATGATTTGGAATGTCAGATCATTAACGAGCACCGAATAGCTTCCATACATTACCGAGAGTATAACCTCAAAGGGGATGCTAAAACGGTCAGCACTTCGATTATAGAGCCAGTAATCGAGAACGGCTATGGTATAGTACCTAAACGACTAGTTTTCAACTATAATAGGTCTATGAACGATATTTTCAGGTGCTAATCTGTTTGCAGCATCAATAATACAGTTCAAAAGTAATGTAGATGGGTAACGATGATTTTCCGCATGTCTTGCATATCCGAGGAACCACAAAACACTCGCGACATGTGCACAAGTACCTAATGTTCTGGCCCCTGACTTGCAAGTACAATAATATCCAATTATTGGTGACTCTATGAAATCTTCGATGTTGTATATCACCCACAGCATATATTTGGTAGCATTCCTGAATCTTTAGAAGATTCGTAACCGTACAATATTGGGCTCAGCAATAAATTCGTCCACTTCTAGTATGTTTGTTTCTTCCCTCTGAAGCTTATCCTGAATATATGCAGCTGATAACTGAATATGATATATGCCTGTTAAATCTTCCAAGTATTCCAATGTCAAACGGGGGAATTCAGGAACATGAAGATGATTAAGTAAAACCCAGCGACCATTTCTCAAATGCAGATTTTCGGCTTCAACACGTGCCTGTACTAAGTTCACCTCATGTGATTTTTCCAGCATTCGTGTTGCTGTTTCAACTGTTCCTGGCATACTTATCAGTGGCCGGAACCGATTTATCAATGCTCCAGCAATGTTAATAAAATCATGCAAATGAATTGAATGTGTAATTGACGAAGTGCCTTTCAAATTTGAAAATTGACTTCAAATGGCCATTTTGAGATTCAACGATCCATCGCGTACTGGTTATTAGTCGGGCTTTATTCGCATCGGAAGTAGTGAGCTGGTTTTGGCCCCTAGCAGGTAGAGGAGGCATATGGTAGTTGATACCAAGTTCTTGAAATAGGGGAATTGAATCTCGATAGCCTTTATCTACTACCACAATATCACCTTCTTGAAACCATGCTCGCATTCCATCGATATCATGCTTAATTTCATGATTGAGAATCGATGCATCGTTATTGCGGGCATCTGAGAAATAGGGCCCGTTTATTGCTAAAATATATAAATCTGAGGCGACCATTACTTCCGGTTTGATCAGATGTTCCATTTTATGGTAGCAATAGGATTGGCGTGATACTCTAAGATTACTACATTTTTCTATCTTGTTATATGTACAATCAATATAAACAATGGCTTTCGGAATATCAGGATTGGGATTGTAGAGCTCATTAGCAAATGGAGAAACATGTCTTGCAATGAAATGTTCTCTATCTATTGCCCCAAATCCGATATTGTTTGGTACAAAGCGCTCCATTAAAGATATACGTACGTTGGATACTATCATGCTAGTATTCTGCCGAGACGGATATCGGAAGATTATTTTCAAGAACTCATCCGAGACACCATGTCGCAATTTGACAAGAAAAGTCATGAGGTGTTTTTCAGATATAAGTCGCCTATTGCCACATTTCTCAATGGAGTCACAATATTCTTGTAATTCTCGAAACTGCTGTTTCGAAAGTGACGTCAAATATTCAAACTCATCATCGGAAAAACTATTTATATTTTGATAATCCCTCGTATTGTTATTGGCAGTTGCAGCTGTTCTGAGGCATTGCAGGAATTGGTTTAATTGTTTCATTAAATACGGTCTATTGACAAAACGCAAACCAGCATAAAAAATGTATAAGAGGAATCCGCGATTGTCAAGATGATGTGCACATATTCTTACATTTTCGGGAACATAAATGTTAGAAATAATAAAAAAATTCACTCTACAGTCAATGGGCATTCTGTGAATATTAATGTGGAAATTACAAACCATGCAAGTACGACTTGTTGCTGGAGATAAAACATTGAGACGAAGACAGTTGGGATTATTTTGTCGTTGAGTATTGCCTGGAAACAATTGAAACAAGTTCTAGTTCCCTCAGCAATATCGAGAGGAGGTCTTTCTGCAGCTTGTCTTCTCAATATAGCCATTTCCTGTTTTTCGATATTTTCTTCTCCATGTATCCTAGTCATTTGCTGTATTCTACAGTTTCTATCACAAACGTAACAGTCCCCCCTATTAACCAACGCCATTTGGAACACTATCACTACTTGAGAACTATAATGAGATAAAATTATGAACAATAAACTCCACAAAGGGAATATCCTAAATTACAACACTCAAACTGAAATCAACAATCGATATCCGCGTGACAAGTTCACTGACAGATCGTTGTTGATTATAACTCACCTACTTGATATAATATCGAATATGAACCAATAGTGCAGAAACCCATTTTTGCATTCAATAGGAATTAACTTTTTAGGATTATTTTCTATTTCACCATCATATATACGTATTGAATTATATCATTGGAATGTGATATGAATATGAATCTAATGATATTATAATAATTACTGATAGCAAGCAAATATGAAAATGATGGAAACGCCTGATTCTGAGTGGAAAACAAATGTGATTCAACTCTCCCTATTAGAAATGGAAGCGTCGTGAAAGACCGAATCATTCTCCCATCTCCTAGGGTTTGTTCGTTTTTCATTTTGGCAGAGCTTGTATACCAACGAAATTCGCCTAACTATCTGTTCATTATATTAATATTATTAAATTCATATATCTGCTATTGTCATTGAATTTCTAATGTTCACCCTGTATATGAATACTAAACTTATTTTCGTCTCCAAATTCTCACGTTTCACTATTTGTGAAAAATATCGGCCACTATGCGAATGTAAGTGAACAAGTCTCTTCAACTCTTCATGCAAATGGTAAGTTCCTGAATTAATAACTATGACACCCGTCATGATAGGAAACTGAATTTTCAAGACAGCGTTGAGGAGCGAATGATGAATATATTAAAAAATAATTAGGGAATTTCACCGAGTTAATCATGAATAACATGGTGATTTCAAAAAACACGATTTTTTGTCATTTTCATCATCGAAAATCTTCATGATCACCCTATATATCTCAACGAAATCATGTTCATACGGTATCAGCTATCTTGGGAGGTTAACAATTCACTCGAATATACAGGATGTGTATGAATAAATCGGTCTTAGGTGTCACCAATTTTTCAAATCACCCTGTATGAAATGTATGAATTGTGATTCATGATGGAATGAGAATAGTATATTGCATGCCTAAATTATTTTTTCGATATTTCATTATAACATCGAATTTTCAGACATCACTGAAATGTTTATATGTTTCACTCTGTAAACAATTACATCATCTGAACCATCTGAATTATGTTGAGTAATATAGAGGTTCGTTGATGATATGAGCGAAGAAAACTGTACTTGGCATCTTTGAATTTCGAGAATATAATTAAATGAAAAATACCGATTTGTTACTTCAACGCCCTGTATCTCAAAATCTGTTCATCAAAGAACTTTACGATTCTGCAGGTTCAATCAGTTCATCGAATTCTACAACATACTGAAAATTCAGAAAATTTTACCGAGAACCATTTTACGTACTAAAAGTGCGGGGTCCTTTGACACAACTCAACCATATTCATAATTCGCAAAATCATAGATTCATGATATTAAATTAGATTTATAATATTAAATTAGTTAGTTATAATAATGAACTAGTTACTGAAACAGCCGGAAAACCCTTAATAACAACAAACACCACAAAACGATGCATTTTTTATTTTTTAGTATTTGTTTTCTAGTTTACTAATACTCTTACTTTTACTTTACTTTATTGATTTCTGGGTGGAATAATATTAATTCCTATCATCGTTGAAGATTTTGCATAACATATTTTTCTTGTTGGTATTTTTCTGTTGTCAGATTCCAAAATGTTTATGCAAATTTGAGTTGTTTGTCAAAGAATTTATTTAAACTTGGTATTTTCAGCTTGTTGTCCATATGATTAATATAAATAACTCTATTTCAATGTGGCGATAATTTTCCGAAATAACTGAAGCACAATTGGATACCACATTTTTTATAGACTACAGGATGTTTTATATCCAGACTGTGGTACAAAAAGCTTTCCCTTAGAATTTTGAGAGGACATCAATTTTTCCATTGAGGAAATTGATTCGTTTTTCAGATGATTTCCTTTCAAGAACAAGCGGAATAATTATGTGTGGAAGACAATTTTCTTCCAGTCAGAAAAACTCAAAACCACTATGTGTTTTGATTTGGCTTTTTCCTGCCGTTTAACAGGCAGAAAAGGTGTACTTTTACTGCCTAGGTAAGTAAGTTTGTTGCTATGCAACGTTCCAAGAAATTCTAATGAAATCAGTAATCAAAATTGACAATGGCATTGGGTGAACACAGATGATGGAGTGTTCATTAAAAAAATTACACAAAGTTGGTTTTATATCTTTTGGAGAAAAAATGCTATGTTCCACACGGCAGCAAATGTAGATTGACTGCCTTGGCTGATTTCCTGATGAACTATCAGTCGCGGCAGTCAGTCTACTACTTTTCTGTCTAGTAAAACAAATAACTATTATTTTTAATCAGGATTCACTTTGAGGATTTTTGGTGGAACCATATTTTTAATGCCATCATTGTCACATTGTCAGTATATATGTGTTTTTGTCAGGAAAAACAGTGGTTTTTGCATGGCGGTAACCCAAGATGCCTGGATTGCGATCCAGGACAGAAAAGGCTTTATGTGAAGAGCTGCGATGAACATTCCAAAACGCAGAAATGGCGATTCGAAAATGTGAATTTGACCATGATAGCAGATTGGGAAAATATCGGAGTACAGGAGTAGACTTGTTTTATACCAAACTACAGTGAGAGCAGGTGCTATTTTCCACTACTGTATTTATCACGAAAATCGGTTGAACATTATTTATTCATGTTTTATTTTATTTGAGGTCATTTTAGTCAAGTACCAAGTTGATTCATTTCCTATTATTTATTGGTTTCAGCTGATTGAAAATCTGCTCAAACCAGTAGAGAAAAGTCCATCGAAAAAGTGATAGGCTAGTCATCATAGACCCTACAAATGAAAAATTATTCAACTTCAAAACTGTGTCATTAGTTAGTATTATGACACATACCAGATTTGTCATCACATTGATGAAATAAACCTCTGGTGTACGCACTTCAATCCTTTCCTGTTTTACAATTCCTTGATTTTCGCCTATACTTCGATGAACATAACATGGCGTGGGTGAATGTCGCTAAATTTAGTCTGGTGCCGTACCAAAATTACAAGCATTAATGCAATCATTAATATGACAATTGTGACCGAATTGTGACCAATGAAGATATGGAATACATTTTGCGATTTAGCCGCATCAAGGTTGGTAGAACTGATGTTGATCATAAGTTCTAAGAATCACGCCATCTAACATTCGATAGGTGAACCCCACGTCATCGTCTGAAATTCAATTGTTTATATCAAGAACCAGTCTGAGGAAACAAATGAAGAGTGAGCGCACCAGAGGTTTATTTCATCAATGTCATCACCTTGCCTAAAACAACCACCACAGATTACAAATAGTATATTGAAGTATAGGTGGATGCATTCTTAAATTTTGCAGGATTTTTTATTTTATCTCGGTTTATGGAAAAAATACATTGGTCAATAATAAGAAACCTGTAGGTATTACCTTTAGAGTTGGTTGCATATCTTAGATGAAATGACACAGTTTAAGGTTCACAATACTTTTGTAGTTTCTTTTGCAAGAATACACAGCAATATTTCATTTATTCAAATTTTAACAATCTTTGGAATATTTGAAGAGTTGCGCTAAATGACTGGCCTATAATTTATTCAATAATTATCAAAATTAGTTGCTAGAACATCAAGATAGATTTTTCATCATTATCTTCGGCTGGAACAAATTTGTTTTTGATTGTGTACTTTCAGAAAAATATTTTGATCACACACAGGCTTGACTTCCAAATTTAGATTTTTGTTTATATTTTCCAAATCCTTTTTGGCCAAGACTGTTTTTTTGTAATTTTATGAACGTGGATTAGTGGTATATGTACTTAACTACTTTATTTTATATAAGAACAAAGTAAATATCCATATCAGTAACGTTTATCTTTTCTGTGATAAGAAATTTAATTGTTGCCATAATTTTAAGGGGCATTTAGATGGGCCGAATCTTGTTTTTTAGCATTTTAAAATTAAATGCTGTATAGTCGTCTTCAGAGATCATGTCGCGGTTGGACGGTGTCAGCGCTCTTATTGCAGGAGTTATCTAGAATGCTATCATCGTCCATGTGCGACATGTTTTCTGAAGAGGACTGTACCCATATCAATCATCCCTTTGGAGTTTTGATATTTTCAGTGTTTTGTTGTGAAAAAGATATTCCAACTGTTAATTCCATTGCCCAATATTCATTATTAAATTTGTATAGCTACAAATAGGTAATGTATAAGTATGATCAAATCAAAAAATAATAAATTATTTACATCACATTGTGTATACACTGTGTTTTATTTGATTCCTAAATGCATGTTTATCTGAGATCCAATTGATTTAGCATAAGACGGCCAACGAATTTTCAGTTTTTATCAAAATGATATTAGTATAATATTCCAGATAAGAATAAAGTGGATGGCACGGCCGATCCTGAAAAAAAAAAAACATCATTGAAATAACGAATCCATATCGGCCCCAACAGTGAATGCCTTTACAGTATTTTTGATAATCGGCAAGAAATTCAATATGTATGTCTTGAACAGAATTTTATATTTATTTAAATAAAATAATAATAAATATGTCTGCCATGTGGGTATCATCTTGGGATCTCGGTAGCTGGCGCTTCTATTGAACCACTTCTAATAGTTTCAATATTACCATACCTTGATTACCATTCATCTTTTCAATTTCGCTATGAAAAATATAGAAAATAAAATAAATCGTCATTTCTACCAACCTTGTAGAAAATAACACGTCACCCCACCTGGAAGCAGAAACTTGAACTTTTCTGAGCGTTATGTTTTGATCACCAGAGTCTGACCAGAGTAAACAGACCGCTTTGACAGCTCTCGAAAACCCCGCCAGATGGCATACGTTTGTTTTCGAATAAATTATGAGAAAATAGTGGTTGAGTAAAAAGTGGAATTCTGCTTTATGGCAATCAAGAAGGTAAAAGTCCATGTCATCTTGATATTGATGTTCTCATTATTGTCAAAATTACTGACAAACGTTGTCAAATGTGAACAAACAGTAGTCAAGAATATTACTAGAATGTGTGATTGCTCTGATGAATATATTTTGAGGAAAACTGCGTTACTAGCTCCACCTCTATCAAGGGACCGGCACAAAGGGCAAGCGGGAAGAATAGGAGTTTTTGGCGGGAGTATTGAATATACCGGTGAGTAATTTATATTACTTCAAACTTTGAGTATTCACACTACATTTTCCAGTAGTCACAAACAAGTTAATTGAAAATCATATAACTCAGCAATATATAATAGCAATCTAGCAATGATATGAAATATTCAATGCATCAATATTCATCAATCTTTCCCTATACCTTACTCAGTAAAGTGGCTACTCTCTCGTCCTCCGGTCGCATATCTGGAATTCAAACAGTGCTTAGATTCCCGACATCAGAGTTTATAACTTTTGTCTCCAAACAGTAATCACGACTATTACGAGTTGAAATATTGAATTCATCTACAATGCGATCCTTAACTTTTTGTTGACAACAGAAAGTGCATCTATACATTAACTGGAAAAATAATATTTTCGAATGTGGGAACAGAATTATCATAAATCTTTTGAATTATAAGTCCATAAATCTACTATTCTAGATGTCATTAATTCTAGCTCTATCCATAAGTGGATGAAAAATCAAATCTGCATAAATGTATTTGACAGGTACAGCTTCTGATAAAAATAGAAAAAATTGTCAATATCATTTTGCATTTATGTCAAAGCAATAAACTGCAAATTTCCTGCTTAACTGAGTAATAAATTATTTTGTAGGAGCGCCATATTTCTCATCTATCAGCGCTCTGAAAGTGGGCGCTGACCTAACCTACATTTTCTGCAACAAGGAAGCTGCCACTGTCATCAAGTCCTACAGCCCTGAGCTGATAGTCCTACCAGTACTTGACGATTCTAAGGCTATAGAAAAAATAGAGCCTTGGCTAGATAGGTTGCACGTTGTACTGATTGGCCCAGGTCTTGGCAGACATGACAACACCTTCGAGGTCATAGAAAACGTTATTCAGAGTTGCAGGAGTCAGAGGATACCGATGGTTAGTTTGTTCATTGTCTTTCTTTTTTTATCGCTTGGCGCACATGAAAGGCGGGAGTCCCAATAATGTTAAATTAAAACATAATAGGTGAGGTGTGAATTTGGTGCTGGTTTACTGAGAAAACTCATTAACTAGATATATGTTTCAATCGAATATTATATAATTTTTCATCTCTTGGAGCGCACAAGGTAATTCCGTGGAACATGTAGGTGTTGGAATTTATTTCGGACTTTTGGAGGTTATAAGTTCTCAAGCAAAGAATTCCAAAGCTTCGCCGTTCTATCTAGACGAACGAGTTTTGGTAGAGTGATGTTCGACATATCTCAAGGTTGACGACGAAAGGATATGTGCAGATCGACTGGGCCTGTCGAGTCCTTCTGACTTCTATTTGTTCATAACTGTATCTAACCAGAAATGCAGACATTCTTCTGACTGTTTGAACTTCAAACAGACTTCGCGCGGCGTATATTTCTAGCTGGAGCTGCTCCAATTATTGACTTTCGGTGAGACTATGAGAATCAAATTCAGTTTTACCTTCCTGTTTCTACATTATATATAATGACATTTTTTAACAGGATGTAGAACTCATTAATATCATTAAAATCACCAATAATTGCCCACATTGAAGTTGAAAGATAACGACCACCACTCACCATGAAATGAATGAAAAGCACGTGAACTGCAAGTTCATTATATTTTCTCAACCCTACGGAAGTGGCGCCCTATTTGTTGAAACGAAAGGTGGCGCTGGGTCTCACAAACTTTTCGAAAAAGTGAAAATTCCAAATATTTTGGCTGATGAATAAAGATGAGAGATGATTCAAAATAAGCTTTTTATTGTGCAACGGAACCTATTACTCAAAATAATCATCGGATTCATTAAAAAAACTAAGTTGTGTAATTATGCTGATATCGATTAATTTCACTGCCACAAGAAAAAATCAAAAAGTTAAAAAATTCCACTTACAGAAATCGATAAACATATAATGAAATCTCATCATTCAGTGATTTTTCAGTGAATTGAGGCTAGCTGGGCACCAAGCTCTGAAGTGAGAAAGGCGTTAATTTTTTTTACACTTTTTACAGTAAAATATGGTTTTCGAGTCTCATGTGCAAAAAAAAAACTCTTTCGTGATCCTAGAAAAACTTGGTTGGTTGGTGGTGGTCCTGGAGCATCAATATCACCAAAAGAATATAGTTTCACCTTCTCATCCAGTAAACAACGTTGTATATGTTCATTCATCAAATTTATCGATAGTTCACATATATTATGATGCAATCTCACTTGTTTCCTCTCGTAACTCATTTCTAGAAATTTCAACAGTGAAAACCAACTGATAATCTTTCATGATAAGAAATGACTCACGCAATTGATAACAAATGCCGTCCACTATCACTAACAAAAAAATATCATCAAAGGTGGCGCCTAGTCTATCAGACTTTTTGTCCAATATATCCCTTGGAACGACACATACACATCCCCAACCTTACGTAGAGATACTAGTGACCAAAATATGAAGGTACCTAGGAATACGAAGATTTGACTTTGATCGTCGACAATTGAAGAATGATTACAGATGCGTCGGGTCTCTCAGACTTGGCGCCACTTCTGGAGGATTAAACGTGAACTCTGACAAGAATACGAATTGTTTCTATTAGGGCAAGGATCATATGGTGGAAATATTATATGGTGTGCTACTCAGGTAGCTTGAATTCGTCTTTTCTGCGCATAACGTTATTGCGAGATGTTGCGAGTCTATATTCGCACCAAAATGATTACGGCGACTCGGGCAAACTGATAACTGAGAGCTCAGACTGTGAGCAATTGTTTTACTCGCAGTGACGTATACGAAGATGCGTCGTAGCAACGACACCATACTCTATAATTCCACCATGGGTAAGGATAACATATGAATCACTAAGTTCACAATGAACGCCAAATAAGTTTTCATTTTGAACAATAATGATTCCTTTTACATTTTTGCAAGCTCAATTCGTATGTTCCTTCACAGGTCATAGACGCTGATGGTCTATATTTCGTATCGAAAAAACCAGAGGTCATCAAAGATTACCCGGCACCCATCATCCTAACCCCAAACGTCATGGAATTCAACAGGTTAGTCGGCCAAACAACCGGCGACGGCACCAAACTAGAACGATCCTCTTCTTTCTTAAAGTCCCTAGGCGGCAACATCACCATCCTCTGCAAAGACAAAGACGACGAGATAATCAGCAAAGGCACGGTGGTCAAAGTGACAGGTGGTGGTTCTGGAAGAAGATGTGGAGGTCAAGGGGATCTTCTGGGCGGGTCTTTAGCAACTTTTTTCGCTTGGGCTCTGATGAAGGGGGAGGATGTGAACGTGGCTTGCTGTGCTGCAGCCAGGCTTACTAGGGAATGCAATTCTAGAGCTTTTTCGAGGTTAGGTAGGAGCATGACGACCACAGATATGATCGAGGAGATTCATGGGGTGTTTCAGGATAATTTCGAGTTGAAATAAAAGTTTCAAGGACATGGTTGTGTGTTTCTTTCATTATTGAATAGCAATAAATATACTTTGAGCAGCACCATCCGCTTTGTATTTTCTTATTCGTTGACCGCGATTTGATTTTGTTTCTCACATGTAGTATAGGTACTCAATGCGATCCACTTTCCTTAGTTCACAATTCTAAGTAATTTTTCCCCAGATTCGATGGAAATTACACGTTGTATGACAGAAAGCCCCATATGAGAGCCAATGTAGAGGAAAGTATATATATTTTCCCCAGAGTGTTACACTTGATCTGGAGGAGGTGTGGAAGTGTAGTACATGCAGATAGTAGTTAGGTAAGGAGTTTGTTTTTGGAGCATAAACAACAATCTCCGTTTTGTATATAAATCATTTAATTATTCTGGCCAACGTTCCTATAATCCTAAGATGAATTATGCCACTACTGATAAAACAGATTTCGTTGATTGATCCTCGCCAGAAGAACTTGTAATTGATACACCATCTAAATTCAAGAAACTGCTAATGATTTCATCATCGCTGTTCATTTTTTTAAGTTCAAAGAGTTTTTACATGCAATCAAAATACGCGAAATTCGACTATACATTTGACTACACCACGAGCAACTAACAGAGGATATCGATTCACCACACTCCACTACACTCGTCCACGCCGAAAAATGTAGTATGTAGTGTACAGTGTACAATATAAATTTCATGCAAAAACAGCGAACATACCTCTAATATATCACCATGCTTTACCATTGAACTCAAGTTTATATCACTGATCTATATATAGATCAGTGGTTTATATTGAGTTCATTGGGCTTTACTAGGAAGTGCAATGCTAAAAGGGATTTCGCGAGGTTTGATAGGAGCATCACGACCACCGATATGATCTGATATGATCAAGGACTCAAGGAGATTCACGGGCTGTTTCAGGATAAATTTGAGTTGAAATATGAGTAATTCAAGGATATGGTTTTGTGTTTATTTGATAATTTTAGAAAATAGCAATACATTTATCTTGAGCAGCACTATACCCTTATGTTTTCTTATTCGTCGACCGATGGGGCTTTCTGCCATGTAACGTGTAGTTTCCGTACAATCCGGTGAAAAATTACTTTGAATTTCTAGGGATCGTCTGGAACTCTCCTAGTATATTTACTGATCGATTAAAAAGTGCAAACAATCCGTTAGTCAAGTCAGGCATTTTTTATCGAGAAAATATAAAATCATAAATATTTTTGCTTGGTCTTTGAAGTGACCTATTCTATTTCTATATATGTTTATTGAAAAACCCTGTATATGCGTATATTCATCTGGAATCATTATATAGCAATTTCATTTTCATCCTCGTGGAGTGGATAGTCCTATTTTATATGAAGGAACAAGGCATTACGAAATCAATTTCTATTGGAGTAGGTGAAAACTAAACAGGAAGGAACCGCTCTATCGTATTCCTCAAGAGATCTTTGCCAATGTTTTATTCATTTCACTCGAGAAAACTTCCGAAGTCGGAGGTTGGAGTTCAGGTAAATTGCCAGTTTAGGCATCTTAACATTGTTGTCAATTTCATATCAACTTTTACGTATTCTGAAATATCTAGGTACAATGTTGTGATTGTTGTGTTTCATATAGGTAGGTATAGTGATAATAATATGGGTATAATTATTTTTTCGATGATACGGAATAATAGTTATTTATGTACCAAAGACGAAACACTTTCTATTATAGTCGAGTCTTCAAATTGATAGCCGCGAGACTATAACAATCAGGCGAGACAACAGAAATTTTTTTGCCGTGGTGCATATTAAATTTTTTTGTCGACCTCACAAATACTAATATTCACATCACGGCCCTACTCACACGTGAAATCCATCGTGAATAATTAATTTGACAAAGCACGTGACAGTTGTTGTCAACTCACTCTCTGCGCGGACCAGGGTTGCCAGTTCGATATATATTTCATCAGTAAATACCAAAAAACATGAAAATTAGGAAAGAATAATTTTGAGTAGCTTCCACGGTATAGAAAATTATGCATGTGTGTCAATCAGTCTGCTTGAGGCATTGCTACTGATTTTCCATAAACTTGGTAACACCGCCGATTGTAGTGGGGATGTGGAAAGCATGCCGCGGAAAATCTTGGCGCGAGTTTCTCGACCACCGTGGAAACGTACGGTAGCTCTGTTTTCCAGTCTTTCTGCGCTCTTTCCGCGTAATATTCTTCTTCTCTTATTTCCGTTGATGATAATTATCGCGTTCTCCACCAGATTACGAGAGTGTCCAGGAAACGTGGATTTCAGGTGAGATTTGTATATGTTCATACCTATACCCATTCTGCCAAATGTAATTCCAAATATTGATGTATCCCTAAATAACAAATAGTATATGTAACAAGTGTTATGAACGTCATTTTAGTAACGAGTATTTTGAGCACGATCGCAGCAGAGCGGAGCGAGTATTTGATAAACCAGTGTCTAGAAGTGTTTATAAACGCGTTACAAGTTATACTTTTTCTACGAACTCATACTTCCTCTCTCCGACAAGATTCCATAATTCCGAAATGCTAACCTACAAAATAATTCGAAGGGAATTAGAGTTGACAACATAATACATTATACTATGCAACTGCATGTAACCAATGAGACACGCATAAGTTATATTCGTTGTAGATGTGCATCCAGTGTATAGGATACATGCATTTCTATTGAAATGGCTTGTTCACTGACCTTTGTGAATGAGACTTCATTCGACGTAGTAGATAAAAACTCATCGATTCGCTGAGGTGTCAAAGTTTTCGATTTCTCAGGTTTGTATCCATGTTCTGCCAATTTTGCTCACATGAATATTGTGTTTTACATTTATTGTCATGCTCAGCATTGAATGAATTGCCTACAAAGATGGGAGCTTCATGTTTTCACAGAGTTCTTGGAAACATGCAAGTACCTAAAATATTCTCTTCAACTTCACTTTCGTCTACATCTCGCATAGATTTTCAATGAGGAATTCTGATACAAACAGAAATTGTTTGAATTATTCTGATTGCAACAAAATTCGAAAATGACAGTCGACAATTCCGACAATTGACAGGCCGGACAGGGATCGAACGACGAATTTTTTGAATAAATTACAGATCATCAATCCATGATTAAACGATCATTTAGCGTGGCACATATCCGTACACTGAATGGCATTTCAGTTTTGTAAGTAAAAAATAGTTATTAATACACAAAGGCACCGAACATCAACTAAAGATCTTTAGTTGATGTTCGGTGACCAAGGTAATAAGAGGATATCAGTATTACCCAGGGACCAAGATTATATCCCGATGCTTCAGCCGAGGGTTATAAGGTCCTGTGGTAATATTATTCTTGACTTCCAAGGTGTATATTACATATATTCACCACTAGCAATATGATTCAATCACTATATTTCTGTGAAACTAAAATATGGTCACTATGAAAGCACTTCTTATCAATTCTAATAGGTCTTTTCATTTAGATGACAAATGACTATCTCTGTTTACATCTCGCATCCAACGACAGTGGCGGCCATTTTCACCGAAACACTTACACCACAGTAGCACTCAGTAACGAATAAGTAACGTTTTTTGGAATTAAATTATTATAATACAATTAATACACACCAGGAATATAAAAACAAGAAGACTATGTTGTTATTGTTGTTTCTCAATGACGAATGCCCATGGTGGTTGACACTGTTGACATTTAACAGAACGTCAATAATACCCGCCATATTCGAAATAGCCAATCAGCATTTTGTGTTGGAACTATAGCCATTGAGACTTCACCTTCGCATTACCCAATGAATTGTTGGATCTAAAAACGAGCGCATGCGTCTTGAAAATATATCTAGATGGAAAGGCCTATTAAGATCTCGTAGCCACCATGACAGCATATGACAAATCGTTATTGAAAACTACCTCTAGATTCGAGTGCCTTTCCTGGGAATCTCGCATAAGAACATCGGGTTAATTATATCAGAGGTGGCTATATCTTTATTGACTAGTGGTAGTAGAGTGGTTCAAAAAATTACGAAAACTACCTTTGTAGTAAAAACAAGCTTTATGCCTTGAAAAGGAGTAAATAATGGTATGTAGGTTCTAGGGCTAGTGGTGGAAAAAATAATAATTGTATAGGTATCTATATACATATACCGCACTGATCACCCAAGCCTATATAGGTGATGCGTATTCCTAACCTTATCATTTCTGGAATGAGAATCCAACAATTCAATTCAAAATTTTCTATAGAAAACTAAGATTTCAGATGGGGACTCATAAGACCACACTGCATATCATACTTTACTTTGTTTGTTTATTCACATTATAACCTTATTGTGATTCTTATAACATCATCAAAAAATCTAAAAAGGTGCGTTTTTTTAATATTCATGAATATACTTTATAGAAACTTAGTAGAGTTAGGTTGGTAGGTTGGGAAGTAGGTACCTACTGGAATTACGCATTTTCCATTTTCCGAAACACCAATAATGATGATATATGAATATGATGTATAGCGTTGATCATCATCTTGAATAGCAGACATTATTAAAAAAATGAAATTACATTTTTGTTGAAAATCTCATGATCTCTTCATTTCAATAAAAGGGTAGATGATTTGAAGGAAAATTACTAGAAATCAACTCAACTTCAGTAGTGATGCCAAAACACATTAGAGAGGTAGATATCACTTTTGTAGCCATTTTTTGACAAGTTTTATCGACATTTTTTGTACAGGGAGCTATTTATTTGTATCAAATTTAGCTATTTCGAATATTTCCCTATCCTCCCTCCTAGGTATAGCCGATGTAACATGAACATAATAGGGATTCCCGAGGGGATTCCCTTTTTATGCATCCGAAAGATGAAAAAAGAATAGTTTGTTTTTCCTTCTTGAGAAACGCCACGGAATGGAAAGGCAGGAAAGTGATGTGTGAGATGATATGTGGAAAATCTGAAATTATCTGTTTATTACTGATGGAACCAAAATATTCTTTCATAGAATTATACATACACGCCAAATTGAGGAAGTGCTCATCTAACGGTGCAATA